CTCCTACATGGCCTCTCATCGATACCTTTACCAAAACATGTTCAACACATCCCTCACATTACCGACTTAATCATTTCACTCTAGCCCATCACCCAGATGAACACAACTCTAAGCATAGCAGGCGTAGCAAGGTAGGAATCACATACATGGCTCAATCAACTCCTACACATGCTAGTGGGTTTCATCTAGTTACTGTGGCAATGACAGGTCATGCAGAGGATAAGGGTTCAACTACCGTAGCACACAGCTATTTTGAATCACGTTGTCTTAATGCAGTAAGCAAGAGCAGAAGCGAGAACATGGGTTTGTATCGGAATGATCAATGGATTGCTTGCCTGATGTAGTGGTAGTAGGGTACTGCCCTTCAGACGGATACTCGGGGTTATCCTCGGAGGCAGAACCTACCACGAAAGACACACTGAAACATAATCAACACATGACAATATGCAACAATATGATGCATGCTATGACATGGCAAAAATGAATGTGTCTTGGCCTAATGCAAGCTAAAACAGGAAGGAATGAACTCATTTGAATCAAAGATTCAAATGTTAGCTCATTTAACATAGCCTTATTAGTGCATTATCTTATTTTGCTTAAACAGCAAGGTTAACTTGTTTTGTCATGCATGAAACCATTACAGATGGATAGATTGAATTTTTCTGATCATTTTTCATATATAAATTGTTTGATTTGGAGCTATGGTTGTTTTTCTATGATTTTTAGAAGTTTTGGCTATTTTCTGGAATTTCCTATATAAGAATAATTCCAGTAATTGAATTAATGCGTCAGCATGACATAGGTGTGACGTCAGCGGTCAACTGGGTCGGCCAGGTCAAACCTGACTAGTGGGCCCTGTCTGTCAGTGACTCAGCTAACTAACAGGATTAAATTAACACTAATTAACTGTCAGTGGGGCCTCGGCCCACATGTCAGTGACTAAACTAATTAAAATTAGTTAGTATTAATCCTAAACTAAATAACAGGTCGGCCCCACCTGTCATAGGCTCAGGGGGAGGTCAACCTGGGCCCCACGGGGTCAAACAGGGTCAACTTGCCGGCGAGGCCAGACGCGGCGGAGCAGCGCGGGTTTTGCACTCCGGCGACCAAAAGGACGGCGGAGACCATCTACGTGATGCGGTGAGGGAGCCGCGTCGAGTGGTGGCAGTGGGTGGAGCTGGGGTGGCCGGAAACGTCACCGGCGACGAGTTTGGCGGCGGCCGGAGCTCGGGTAAGGTTGAACTAGTCACTAGGGTGCACGGGGAGGCGCGTGGTTTGGTGCGTTGAGCTCCTGGGGGTGCGGTAGGGCTAGTGGACAGGGTGGCATGGCCATTGGGTGGCCGGAGCCTCGTCGGCGACGAGCTCCGCGGCGGTGCGTGCGGGTGAGCTACGTGCTGTCACTACGGGGCTCGAGAGAGGGAACGAAGAGGGTGGGGAGGTGGCTAAGCTCACGGGGGTCACGTCGAGGCAGTCGGCGAGGTCGGGGACGAGCTGATGCGGCGGGGACGGCGAAGGGGATCTCCGGTGGCCGGAGTTGAAGACGAGCTCGGTGCAGCGTCTCCGGGGCGAGCGAGCGCTCGGGGCTCGGCCTACTCGATGTAATCGACAACGGCGGAGCTCGTGGACACGATGGCGCGGCGCGAGGACGACGGAGGGCGCGGCTACCACGACAGTGTGGCGACAGGGGCGTCGGCCATGGTGGGGAACGGCGAGGAAGAGAGACAGGGGGAATGGCGTGTCCAGGGGCTTCAGTGCGCGACGTGGAGGCGTCCAGACGTCCAGGGGCGCGGGCGGCAAGCAGGTGGCGCCGTGGCGAGCTCAGGCACGCCGGCGTCACCTCCCTGCCTGCCTGGAGGGGAAGAAGCAGCTGGCTGGCGCGGACCAGCACAGTGCTAGGCCGCCAGGTGGGCCGGCTGGTGGGCTAGGTGGGCTGCGCCAGGTAAGTTCCTCTCTCTCTCTTTCTTTCTGTTTTTTTATATTTATTCTATTATTTCTGTAACTTCAGGGCTTTATTAAAATGCCAGGGCATTTCCAAAAATCATAAAATTAATCATGGCTATTGCTTAGAATATATCCAACAGCAAACATTTCAGTTTATGATTATTTGAGCATTTAAAATATTTTATAGCATTTAAATGCCCAAATGCAAATACTATAAGAATTAATCAATGACCTTAAGATGTCCTAGAAAAATGTGCACCATTTTTGTCAAAGGTTTTTAACCCAAAACAAAAAGGGTGGGCTTTTTAGAAGGGCATTTCAGGTTCATTGAAAATGTTTTTAATAAACCCTAGTTGTTCAGGGGGGGGGGGTGCTGGGGGTTCTGTCATCCCCATTTCAGTTTTCTGGGAATTTAAGCATGATGCACATGTTCAACCAATCCTAATGCATGACTAACACAGGGATGTGACACCATCCTCGGTGTATTACACTGTCAGCTACGTTAGCCCGGCGGGTGGCCGGGTGGGCCTAATAAGTCAAAACGGTTGTTTTCATGAGCAAATCAGGCGATCGGTGCTCTCCGTTACTTGTTAGGCGCAAAGTTGATGGTTGTGCTCTTCGTTACTTGCTCGTGAGTTGTGTGAAAAGTGATATCAAGTTATTACCCTATCCTCAAATGTGATGGTTTTAGTAAATACGTCCTTCGGCTCCGAGCAACGCTCAAAACTATCCATAGTGGGGAGTAACTTAAAGTAGTAAAATGCATATAGGAAAATACATAGGAGCTTCTGGGTGCTCCACACCCCTAGACAATATTAAATGTAAAGAATACAAAAAAAAATCTGAAATTTGGGGATATCAAACCTGGGTTCTCAATCTACTCCCGTGTGAAATTTTATGTAAAAATACCAGAAAACGTATCTGTGGCGAAGGAAATACTGTCCGAACAAAAATCTGTCCAAACAGTTTTTTTCTATACATAGGATTTTTTCTGTCTCTTTTGTCACGAATACGTTCCTCGGTATTTTTTCACGAAATTTCACATGGGAGTAGATCGGGACCCACCTCCTGCCGCGGACTCCTACAACTGCGCCGGCGACCGGAAGGGCGAAGGGCCAGCGAGGAAGTGGTGAACATCCGTCTTATTTCAAGTTTTTAGATGTAGTTTGAACTTGTCCACTGTATTATGCGTATTATGTGAACTTTGGCTATCTTTTGAAGATCCGGTTGTGATCTTTTGATGAACCGAATGTGCATTTGTATGTCGGCTCATTATCTGCGTAGTTATTATTTGTATGGTTTAGTATGAATACGGAAGATGAAATATGAGATACACGGGTGTGGAGGCGCGGATATAAATAATATGGTTTAGTATGAATACGGAAGATGAAATATGAGATACACGGGTGTGGAGGCGCGGATATAGGGAGTGCCCGGTCAGTGTCCGCAGGCCGACCGGGCGTGTCCACGGACATATAGGAGGCCGGATTTGCCAAGTCCGGCTGTAGATGCTCTAACATATGTGTGGTGTTATCCAACACTTCATTTATCAGGTTATAGACTCATCTTGTTTTGTTATGTGTGATGTTACCCATAACATGACTAACTACATATGTTACTCAAAGCATCTCTCCTCTTATTAAATCATTGCCACATAAGCAAATTTGTCGAATTAGACTCTAGTTACTGTTGAAGTTAATCCCATTATGGGCAGTCTAAACGTCACAAAGAGCCCGTGGTTTCGACACCGAAGAGCCTGTGGCGTTTCGGCTCCAAGCCACGGCGGTTTCTGACCACGCGGATTGTGTCATGCACTTTTGCTGAACTAAGGGTACAGGCAATGTTGAGCGAAACAAAAGCCACATGGCCTAACACCACATGTTTTTTCCACCCTATATACTTGCTCTGAAAACACCATAGCTCCACAGTAGGTGACAAGGCTTCCTGCAAATTCTTTCAGCCTGTGGGAAAGATGGCAAATTTTACCCATAGCAAATTCCAAGTCAATCTCATCGGAACACTACTTGCAAGACCCTTGAGAGAATAGGCTACCGCAAAAGCCTAGTCTTGCAAGAATAAAACTACAAAAACTAAATCTCTCTGTCAGCAACGCAAAAAAAAAAAAAAAAAAACTTTCTCTTTTCTTTTGGCAAACAGCAATGCAGAAAAACAAGTTGATGCGCGTCACACGACACGAGGATAACCATCTGCCAAAACCAACATCATCTTCAGGTCCTTAAGCCCAATCCAATGCTGTTTCTTGGTACAGGAAAGGGTAAATTTACTTTGCAAATTTGTAAAAGATGGCAATCGAATCATTTCAGTAAACTCGGACTTTGGATGAAAGATCAACTACCAGGCGAGTAGGCGACTATACCAAGATGCTGGGCAGGGGTGAGGGGAGCGAGGAGGATCAATTACCAAGATGCAGGTCCTTAAGCCCAATCTAATGCTGTTTCTTGGATAAAAGATCAATTACCAGGATGCAGCATTCAGTCCTGGACTCCCCCAGGGGCCAGGGCTGATGAGGATCAGTAGCAATAAACTTGAGCCTGATAGAAAATAACAGAAACCTCTCCTTCCTAGCTAAAAATGCATAGGGGCCTAGCCTGTAGGTTGACCTTTGTAAGAATCAAACAGATTCTGTATGAACACTCGAAGAAAACTAAATCAGCAATCAAACATCTCGCGCTTTTCTATATGATAACTGATAAGACATTGAAGTTTCCGACACAGGGATGTGTTCCTAGCACAGCTTTGGCAGAACAAAGCCATAAACAATTGTGCTTACCAGCTGTCTCCAGGTACAAATTCAAAGTCATATTATTTGCATCCCTCCACATAAGAAATTTTCCACAGTGCATTCTTTTTGCATCTAAAAGCATCTCTTGCAGTTTTAACAGGAGCAACTTCATAAGGTACTGGAATTACAGAGGAACCTTAGACTAGAAAAAAGAGCAGGTCTATGCGGAAGACAGTGCAATCATTTGACATCAACATTGCCTGCAAAACAAGCACAAGACACTAAGAACAGCGCAATCTTCAGGCATCAACCGTGTCTATAACTGTTCGAAGGGGTCGGCCACTGACAAATCATGGATATGCCTGAGGAGATGAATCGCAGTATTGCGATATCTGCTCCTGAATTCAAATTGGGCATCTCGAGAAGCTCTGTTTTCCACTCGTAGCAGCGTGTGTTGGTAAGCCAGCGATACATCGTTTTTGGCACCATATATTCCTTCAAATTCAATTTCTTTTAGCGCCTTTGCATTCAAAACAAAGAACTTGGCAAACTCAAGCTGTTTATCATGGCCCACGAATGTTTCAAACACCACTGTTTTGAGATGGGTTTGAAGGCATTCAATTGGATATAGTCGTCGGTCATACTGAGGCTCGATTTTGGCATCCATCTCGTAGTGTTTGTGAAACTGCAAAATGGATATTAAGATTCTGTCAAGCGTCTCAGCTGTTACAAACAAGATGTCAATAAAATGTCAAGAAGTTATAAAGCAAGCAAAGATGAGCACTCACAATGATATAGAGCTTCTCGAGACAGGGGAACCTCCTAAGGATATTAAGAACTCCGTCCAATTCATATCCAGAACACCTGAGAGCCAAAATCTTCACGGTGTGCATCGAGTTTGCCAAGTCGGCTGAACTTACTCCCTGAAGAAAACAACAATGAACATGGAAAAATAATTATCTCCGTGTAGGAAACTAGGAATGCCAAATGCAAGGTTCAAGGATGCTGCTGGTGCTACCTGGGAGACTAGGAGGAGCTTGGAGACGACAGGTAACAAAGGGCCCAATATCTCCAATTTAGGCGCAGAAATTACCCGGATAGTACCACAGTTTTCTCGGCAACCAAAAGGTATTAGTAACCTCACAAGGCGAGGCACATCCTCGATGACCAGCTCTGCTCTACCAGAGGTGTTACGGAAGCATATACTCCTAAGAGTCGGCGAGCGAACATGGAGGCAACGCGTACCAAGAACGTTGGACATGTGTAAGCTCTCCAAGGCACGGCAAGCAGGGAGCAGTCCACGGAAGACGTCCACTGAGATGTAAACGGAGATCAAGGAGAGACGCTGGAGGAGGTCAAAGCCCATGGACGGCACCATCTCTCGGGGCAAATCACAACAGCTGATCTTGGCAACTAGGAGGGTAGGCGCAGAGCGGAGCGCCGATGGCGGCAGCGGGTTTCTCCCCGGATTACGTTCATCGCAGAACGCGTAGCCGACATCGAGCTCCTGAAGCTTGGCGAGGGCTCGGGAGAGGAACCAGGTCTCCGCCTGGTCGTGGAGGTCGCCGGGGCAGAGGCCGTGGAAGCAGAATCGGCAGGCGGGGCCAGGATGCTTGGAGATTACCTTGGAGGCGGCATCGGGGAAGACGGAGGAGGTGCGGATGGGGACGCCGGGGCCGGGGTGACGGGTGCGGACCTCGAGGTTGAGAGGCGCGGAGGCCCATAGGGGGCGCCATCGGCGGGAGAAGATCTGCGTCCGGCCGCCGTCCTTGGTGGGGAGGAGGGAGATGATGGTGCAGAGGACGGCATCGGGGACCCTGCTGATGTAATCCGCGGCGCTCTCGTCGGAGTCGCCGCACCGCGCCGTCTTCGCTGCGGTCCCATGGGATTCCCCCTGGTTGGCCACGGGCGCTGCGGCGGCCTCCATGGCCGGCGGCTAGCGGGACGGCAGATTTGGCCGCAATGCTCCTGGCCGCCGGCGCACTCGCACGGATGGGGAAATGGGGAATGGAGTGGGGAGGTAGGGAGTGAATCCAGAAACAAGCATAGCAGGAGCCACCCAGCCTCCTCACCGCTCCGGATTCCTGGCCGTCGGATCTTTGTCTTGATGCGTTTTTGGCCGTATGATCTCGCTCGGGAGAGATCTGGCCGTTGGATCAAACCGGATCACTGCTACAATGAATAGTAGCTTCCATCCGTTTTTTCTTAATGGTTTTGTTTACTCCGGAATTACTTTGCTGCCTCGCTGATGCGTGGGGTCGATTCCTGGTGGGCCGCACCTATCTGTTGCCGTGGCTGGCATGGTGTCTTGTGTGCCCCGTCGTCGCCCTCCAACAGTAAAAGATCTTGTGCCACCGCCTGTGATTTCGTAACCCCGTCGAGGGTATTTTCGTCTTTCCACCTTTTGCCCGTGTGCGTGGTTGCCCGTGGTTGGATGAGGAGAGAGGGGGCGTGCCTAACGCACTCACGAAACTCTCTCGCTCGCCCAGCTTTTCCCTCTCTCGTACTCTACTTCTCTCGCTCGAACCCCACTGTTGCCGCCTTGATCGCCGGCCGATTCCGGCTGCTCCGGTGAGCTGCGGCGCCACCCAACACACACATGGCTACTCCTCGACGAGCTCTACTAGCTTCACTCGCCGATCTACTTTTCCTCGCCTCCTGTGGTCGCCCCCATCGATGTACCTTGCCAGGTTTTCGGTGGTGGAGGTGGGCCTCGCCTCCGACGGCCACCTGCTCGTTGCCCCGGTCATCTCCGCCCCTTGGTGCTCCTGGATGTGCTATTCATCACCTCCTCGCCTCCTTGGCGCTGTGCGTCGGCGATTCACGTGCGGCTGAAGCCGCCGCCGCTCCTCGACCCCAGGCCCTCATCGTATCCACCTCCCCTTCTAGGCGCCGGATCTGGTGCCTAATGCCGCCATCTCGCAAGTCACCAAGTTGCCACCGAGGACGCTGCGCTGGACGGTTGGAGGTCGAGTTCGCCTCGGCCACTAAGTTGTTTGGTTGTGGGGGAACACAGAATGCCTCCTTTGAGCATTGGATGCAGAGACAACGAGGACCTCAAGGACGAGGACCTCAAGGTAAGCCCCGGTGAATATCTGCTTGCTTGGTGTTCACTTTGTTTTTTGTCAACTGACATACTTGTATGCTGCAGTGAGATGGATGTCGTCTCAGTCTCCATGGTGCTCAATAGGAGGAGGAAGAGGTGCCGGTCCATAGGGCAGATTTGTGGGTGAGCTCCACTATACGATGTACTTCACAGACTGTATGGATGTTGTTAGTGTTTGCGTGATGAACGGGGGGTGGATGTTTGTATGACGAATTTATGATGATTTAGATTGGAAAGGAAGATTAATATATGAAATATTTGTGCTCTGTTATTTACTTGGTAATTTGTTTATCTTTTATTTGAAATTTAGCTCGAACCAACTATAGCAAGTCTAGTTGTAAGTGTTCAATCTGACTATTTGATGTTGCACAGATATGGGGCTAGACATGGGATGTGCTTGGCCGTGTCCTTTCTTCGACTATGCACCTTTGCGACCACTTGAGCAGCAGTGCAGTACCATGGCCCAGTGATCTCCTTAACTTGCCTAGAAAAGTGAGCTCCCTAATTTGGCTAGAACAGAGGGCACCATGCCTGCTCATCCCTAATTCTGCAGTACAGTAGTACACACCGAGTGCCTCCATAGGAGTCTATAAAAATACCATAAAAGTATTTTTAATATAGTTATATTACAAGGTATTCCATCAATTTTTTGTTTTGGACATACTTATGGTTTTCTCTTCTAATTGTGTCTTAATCTTGAGCTTTTGGTACACTGTTTGGGATTAGATGATGATTATGAATGTGGGCAATCTATTTCTTGATCGTGTCTTTGGTGCATGTACCAATTACAATATTGGCATGGTTGCATCTTTCTTTATATTCATTTAGATGCTTTGTTCACTGCAGAGAGCTCGCTACTAGGAAAAGAGCTATAACCAATATGGACATTAATGGCACACCCTGAATGTGATGCGTCATTAGTGTCCTCATTACTAATAGCGCACCAGACACACGGTACGCCATTACTAGCCAATTTTATTTTTTATTTTTCCAAAACTATTAATGGCGCACCAGCGCACAGTGCGACATTAATAGTTTTAACTAGTAATGGCGCACCACACACAAGGTGCGCCATTACTAACAATTTTTTTTCCAAAACTAGTAATGGCGCACCACAACCAAGGTGCGCCACAACTAACAATTATATATTTTTTGTTTTGCGAAACTAGTAATGATATTTCTTCTATTCTAGTCCTCATGAATATTTATTTATGTGTTTATTCTGATATTGAATTTCTAACTCACAAAAAGTATTGAATTTATTAATATTTTTTGTACTCATGAATATTTTTAAATTTCATGGGCACTTTTTGAATTCATGAATATTTTTTCAAATTTGATGATATTTTTTCACATTCATAAAATGTTTTACCAATTCACAAATGAATGGAACTAAAATTCCAAAAAAAATTGATGATATTTTCAAATAACAAATTTGGTGATATTTTTTCATATTTATAAATATTTTCAAATAACAAATTTGATGATATTTTTTCACATTCATAAATGTTTTCAAATTTGATCATCATTTTCTAAAAAATATTAGATGCAACTAAAAATCCAAAAAAGGTTAGTAATGGCGCACCAGGGACCCCTAGGAGGTGCGCCATTGCTAACCTTTCCCCCTCGCTAGATCCCCCTCGCCCGCTCTCGCTCTCCACCGCCGCCGAGCAAACCCCCCGCGCCCGCTCTCCCACCGCCGCCGACGCCCCCCGCACCCGACGACCCCCGCGCCCGCTCCGCCACCGGAGTCGCCGCCGGAGCACTAGGAGGAGGAGTCCTTCTTCTTCCTCTAGCCGTCGCCATCTCGCGGTCGCCAACGTCTCTCCGGTCCACCCCGGCCTTCACCGAGCCTGCCACGATCTCCGCGGTGAGTCCCTCAGCCGTTCCCCCCCTCGATCCGCCTCCATAGGCCGCCGTAAGCCACCGCCGTCGACCTCGCGCTCACCCCATAGTCGGCCCGTGTGCCCCGGGCTCCTTTGCCGCGCCCCGGCGCACACCCTCCCCGCTGCTCCTGCCCTTGGGCACGCATCCGCCTACATGCCCCTGGCCATCCCTTGCCCGTGCTCGTCCGCCCGTTGTCGCTCGCGTGCGCCCGTGCTGACTGTTGTCGCGCCGCCCCCGCTGCTGCTGTTGCTCCGCTGACTGCACTACTGCTGCTATTGATGTTCGCTGCTTGGTCGCTGCTTGCTGCTGCCTTGGCGTTGCTCTTTCCCGCTGCTGATGCTGCTCTCTGTTGTCGCCACACTACTGCTCTGCCTGTTGCTTGCTAGTTGCCCTTCCAACCCGATTCCATTCCATCTGGTTACGCCGCTGTGCTACTGATGCTCGATTAATTGAAGTCCCCTGTCTGCATCCTCCCTTGTTAACGATCTGGAGGGATTTGGTGCCATTTCCATGGGTAATAATCACTTTTTGATCGAGGTAGTAATCGTCGGCTGGCCCCGTCATGTTCTTCCACCCCCGGGAACACAACACTCATCTTTTTTATCAGTTTCTTTTTGTTTGCACCGTTCAGGTCCACTCCTTTGTACCCAAAGGTCCACTGCTTTTTCATATTAGCAAACACCTGTAAGTATGTGCCTGGTTAAAGTTTAATCTAATCATCGTTGCCCACCAATGCATGATATGGGCATATCACCACCACCACAAGAGAACACTAGGATTATCGTATTCTGTTTTAGCCATTTTAGCTAATGCGGGAGAATAATATTATGTGTCAAACCGAGAGTGAGCGTCGTACTGTCATGGGAAGGATTTACTAGGAGTGGCTATTAAGTTGGTGCTTGACACTTGTGGGTGCAATTGCAAAGCTTTCCCCTGTCCATCAATATTATGTGGTGCCTTTTCTTTTCTGAATTTAAAGAGTCCAACTTCAGCACTAATCAGTGCCAACTTCAACCCCTTAGCCAGACAACAAGTGGATTCCACCACCTCCTCATAGGATTAAGCAAAGCCAATTAAGCAAAAAGACAACACCATCATAGATCACACATCCCTCAAGGAAGAACCACTTTCAGCTATCGATGAAGAACCACTTTCCTGCTTGTCTGCAAAGTGGTTGTTGGAGTCCAGAACACTTAAATAGTTAGTCAAATGAATTGCTTGCTTGCTACTTTTTTAGCTACTGTTTTTATTAAATAATTATTGGATTTTATATCATATATATTGCAAGCATGTATTTCATATGTTCTATAGCATTAAGGCTACATAGCATGCCATTTTTGTGCCTTGTATTAATTGCTTTCCCTACATGTTTGCAGGTTTAAGTGAAAAAAGAGGAAGAAAGGAGAATCAGGGTAGGGTTTCATGGCTAGAAGATATATTGCTGGGTTTCGTCTCCGACCATCGTGTCGTGATGATATTGGGGGGTTTTGTCTCCGACCATCGTGTCATGATGATATTGTGGGGTGTTGTGGGGTTGCAGCGGGGTGGGGGTGGGATAATGATTTTGCAGGTACCCCGAGAGGCCCTTGAGTTTGCCGGAATGTCGATTAACTTCCGTTCTGGCAAATTCAGGTACTCCATATGTCCTATTTTCAGCAAAGGTCATGCTGAAATTTTCCGTGAATTTTAGCATGACTTTGCTAAAAATAGGACATATGGGGTACTTGCGACTAATGCATGGGCCTGGGTATCTTAGTACTTAATTAAGTAGGATCAACTGACTCTTGTGTTATACATATAGAAGTGTGATATCAACTCATAGTTATTACTAATGTCAAGAGATGATGTAGTTTTGAATTATGAACATAGGAAATGTCGTCATCGGACGACAAAAATCTCCCGGGGGTGTGCGGCTGCTGCCACGACGATTGAGG